CTGTTATAAGAATGGCATTGGGTGGAAGCGGCAGTATCTCGATTGTCCCATTGGAATCTCCTTGGGTAAAAAGTAGGTAACTCTAGCGCTGTTATGATCGAGTTTCTTAGCGGTGTTGGAAGTAAGAATCATCACGGTTGAAGATAAAAATAAAGTAACACATGTAGAGCATATTCCCACAGAAATCTCTCCGTTATGCGCATAATGCACGATGGATGTCTAATCCAGGTTCCAGTAAATTGCTCTGTAATAACAGGCTAAACCCTTGTGGTCTCCAAAGTACAGCAGTATCATCACAACAAGCGCATGGCCATATCGCTAAATGTTTCGTTTAAACCTGAAATACCATCCCAAAATTCAAAACTAAATCATTATATAGAGGAAAAATAAGGCTTTGAAAACGAACAAAACCAAAATTTAAACTAGCTAACTAAATATATGAATTGAATAAAAAAATTGATAGCAAAAACGAAACAAGTACACAAGAACACACCCATACAAAAACAACCTCCGCAAGGAGACAACCAAAGTTAGGAGACTGAACCAAAAGTGTTTTAGAGAAAAGACAAAGTAATTGCAAAAACCGAGAATTAAAAGAGTTCTTTTATGGTAGTTAAAGAAGTATTTGAGGTCCAAGAATCATTGATTAAACCTTCGAGCAATTTCTTTCTTTGTATTTACTCAGTTATCGACGTTTTGTTGGCTGTCCTCCTTTTTACAATACTATTCTATCCATATTTTGTCTGCCTCACAACCGAATACAAATTCGTTGGTTCTATCCTTGGCTTTCTTTATGGCGTGTTGAGGTATGTATGTGAGTATTTCCTTAAATTATGGGACTTTTTACACTAGTTCGTTAAGTCAGACATAGTGAGACAGAGTAGAAATTCCGGTCATCCCTTTATTCGTTTTTATGGAGAGTGTTTTTCGTGAAACTTCGAAAATACGTGTGACATAAGTTCTCAATTGAGAACATGCGATTTCATGAGATATCAGAACGTTTATTTTAGGTATGGGGCTAAAACAAACCGGAACTCTTCGAAGTTGATGCAGGTTTCTTTACAATAAACACGCTGAGTACTAAAGAATTGGTCCATGCTTAGCGTGCATATATCGATTTATGGATGCACCACGCGGGGAGTTTGCAGGGCACGAGAGAAGCGTAAGAGTTGCTCCAAGCGCAGCCAACAACAACTCTAACTTCTTGATTAAAAATTTTGAAAATTCTAAAGTTGTACGGTTTTAAAATTAAAATCTTCAATTGAACAATAGTTTTAGGAAATGTCAACTCTTTAAAATAGTATGATTACACCCGTCCCAGGCTCATGTCTCGAAAAAAAGCAAACGATTAATTTATGAAAGCATCACGCGTTGTGTGACGTTGGGTTGAGTTCCAAGAGGAACCGTTGAGAATTTGAACACGTTGTAAGGAATAGTATGGGGAACGAAATATGGTCGATTTGCAACGATAAATATTTCGACATGTGAACATTTTACAAGTGAATTCAATAACACTTACTCACATCTTGTGTGTCTGTGGTGGTTTCTGGCGATTTCTGCCATTTTAAGCTTGCTTTGCCATCCCTGATATATGACGAAGTGAAACTGCAAACGTCATGTTATGGGTACATAAAGATTTGTACCATGGTAGTTCTTTGGGAATTAGGTAGGACTTGGGCGCGGTATGTTATGATGTATATTGTCTTTCTTTTCTTGGTCGAGATGCCTTTCTAAGTTACAATCCCTCCAGTACTTCGACAGTTTCCCGAAAGGGCCAGATGATACGTTAAACTCATTGACTTCCATTGGTTTCTTTCAGGTTTTCTTTTCAACTTGCTACAGAGATACGTTGCCACGTTGTTTATAAGGTATTAGTTTTGGAATGCATCAACAAACGTGAAGAACTTGTGTTTCCTTATGGTCACGTAGATAAAGCTGCTTGTTGCGTTTTTATGAACTACTGAATGAAGCTAAGGAAATGGATTATAGAGAAAGAGTTAAATCACCCAAAATACTAATATAGTATATATTGCGCTGAAAAAGCGTCATCGTTCTCAAGCCATGAACAACTTTCGGAAGTAAGTCAATTCACGCCCCTGCAGGGGTGTGAAATATTTTTGCCTTTGCCTTAGTCCTTGTCCTTCTCTTTGTTTTTTCCTTGCCTTTGTCCTTGTAATCTATTTTTGTTTTATGTAGAAAAGGCTAAAGAGCACCCCCGAGTAATTTTTGTTCGCTGTTGTTTCGAGTGCCATTATTTCTGTTGGCTATAAATTAGATTTTATGAGTCATGAAACAAAATTATGGCCCGTACGGCTCAAGAAAGTAAAGTATTTCTTTTCCTTTTAGAAAACAGGAGCCTATGGAATAATTTTTATTATTTCTAAACTGCCTACAACACTGTGCCTCATCTTTATAACAACGCGATTTGCTTTCCTTATTGTTCGACGAGTTAGACAGATGTGGTCTGTACCTTCTACAGAGTCAGCTGTAAGTCAGAGTTGCAAACATGTATGTTTTCGTCACTTTACAGCAGATACAGAAGTGTGTAATTTGTGCATGTGTCTTCGACTAGCTGGAGTTTTAAGATCATTCCCTGTTTAGTTAAGCACGGCGAGGCAATAGTAACATCATAAAATTCAAAGAAAGGCGTTAAGCAAGGTTTCAATGACGCTTTAAAATCCAGATAAAAAGAAATTTACAAAATATCATGAGATCTGGGAGAATTCAAGACTTTATAAACAAACAGGAGAAAATGGCAACAAGAGGGTAAAAATTTAAAGGGTTGGATGTATCGGCAACTATTTTTATTGTGTCCCTCAAATCTTTCTCTTTAGGGAAAGGACTCCTGCTCCCGCTCACTGGCTCATGATTCGGACGTTGTTCACGTGAAGTTCATTTTGGGGCAAAAACCTCCAATGTAAGATAACTTTTAAAAGCTCTAAAAAAGTTGGTCCTCTGAACAAGCTCCTGTTCAGTGCACGACTAAAAAACAGTTAAATTTTATTATCTTTCATTGTCCTGGTCTTAATTTGTCTTTGCCTTAGTCCTTGTCCTTGTCTTTGTGCTTTTGCTTATGTTTTGTCTTTGTTCCCTTACTTGTCCCTGTCCCTGTCCCTGTCCCTGTCCCTGTCCCTGTCCCTGTCTCGTTATCGTGAGGAATTGATCAGAATAAGAGTTATTATTATTGTCAGCAGTATCGTTTTCGGTTTTTTTCAGATACCCAGACAAGAGAGAATGGTATTGGAAGGTTCTCTACTTTTTTTATATACCAAGGGCAGGTGTGCATGGTATTTCGTTAAACATAAAAAACGTTGGCATTTTAGGTCCCTTTATTGTTTTTTACCTCATGCTTTACAATCGTCGATAGGCCCTGATTAATTTATCAATTTTTTCATTTATTTCATTATTTTTTTATTAATAAGCGTAAATCTAGACTCATGGATTGGACTTATGACATTGACAACGTCTATGATTTCAGATTTCAAGTTTTCCACTCAGTTGATATCAACAGTGTTTCTCGTTGGGATAGCTGTCTTTGAAGTTAGTACTCAATATATCAGAAGATGTCTTGTCTATCGATTTCGAAATGGATTTTTTCATTCTCTGCATCTCGATTTGTCTTTTGCAAGGGTTCAAGTTTTCAGTATAACAGACGCGAGTGTGTCTATTTATGACCCATATTTTTTAAAGCAAATATTTGAAATGAAATTATTCTTATAAACTCTATTTCTCTTTGTTACATGTAGGTCTCGTTGCCTTTGCTCATCACGTGGGAAGAAATTATAGGCGTTCTCAGGGATTCCTATTTGGATATTCATACTCTAAGAGGTAATGTATCGGCAGTAAAACATGATGATTTACCTGCTTCCTAAAATCTTTCAAGTTCAAAGCCTTTATCTACTTGACTATGTGAAGCGGACAATCTTTCGTCACTCTTTTAGTCACTCCGTTCACTGGTCAATGAATCAAACCACTTCCCAAAACTACTGAATAAGTTATAATCCGCGGAAACTGCTCCATAAAAATTAGTCATATTACCATTGTTCATTATCATATGTCAAATAGGACATACTTCGTTCTGATAAGCTGTATTTCCCACGGCATTTCAAAGAAACTCTTACCCCCTGTGAGTATTTCCATCAGAACACCTCACAAAAAATAAAGACCACGTAAGGAGATCGACCATCTCCTCAGAAACTTTTTGCTATATTGCTGGGGACAAATTGGTCCAATTCGCGCTGAGATGATTATGAAGTTGACGCTTGTGCGAGAGGAGATCACTTGTGCAAAAAGCCTTTATCATGCATGCACCAGGAGCTATTTAAGCCTGTTCTAGGCGCTCAGTTAATGAAACGATTATAAACGGTGCGTCAGTTGCAGACAAGTGAAACCGGAGAAGATTTGGTTCGGGATCGTTACGTTACGTTACCTGACCGAAGTCCCCCTCGTTGTTTTTGCTCCACTGCCCCTATAATTACACCGTTTACAAATGCGCCGTTCACCACTCCGCTGCTTTACTACCTAATTGCTTTCTTAGAACAGGCTAGGTCTGTTTTCTATTTTCTGTTGGCTATATTGATATATTTCTTATGTTGATTTTAGGTGGTCTTTACGGATCGTACATTTTCGCAGGTCTGATTTATATTATAACAACACTTCATTTCATGAAGTGCCACAGGTACTTGTGACTAATTTACACCTTTTGCTGTTCATTTTGCTGTTCAGAAAATACGCATTCATTTATGTGAAAAGGTGAACAACTGCGTGAAGTTACATTCATTAGCGACAAAATACGATCATTTGCACATAAATAAGATTCAATTTTCCATTTTAATCAGCATTCAATAACAGTTTTGGGCATTCTTATGCGTCAATCATCACACAGAAGAGAAAAACGTACTTTCATCAGCGCTAACCTTCAAGTCATTAACACCATCCTGAATTTCGATGGAGACAATACACAAACACTATAGTGCAGAGACCATTCATTATTATTTTTATCTCACTGTTTGCAATTCAATAGCATTCCTGGACGGCATTAGTGTGAATAAGACAAGCATTAAAGCGCTTGTACATTAATAGAGTGTTTTATGCATTCAATATGCAAGTATCGATTTTCAATTAAACACCTTTTTTTGCCTGACGTTGCATTGTCGGTAAATTTCGTTCAGTTCATTCGCCTTGTGAACGTCTTTTGGCCGCCAGCAAAATGCCATGAAAAAATGGAATACCACCCGAACACAGAGAGAGAATCGTTAGATGATTCGAAGACCAGGAGGGGTCCTGGATACTCGTTTTTAGGCATTCTGTTGAATTCGGACTGAAAGATTATTGTTAAGTTTATTGTGATTCTATTTAATAGGGACCACATGTTCCAGCTCTACCGTGGAGATAGACACCTAATGCAAAACGTTTGCCTCTCACCGGCCTCTTTTGTGGTATGGCAATAAGCTTGCTTTCAACGCTCCTATCAAAATTAAAGAGGAAATGACTAACCTATGCCTACACTGATATATTTTGAAAAGTTACCTTAATTGAAGGGCACGATAATTTGAAAGGTTGGAAAGCTCTCAGCTTTTTCCAGAAATTGAGAATTTTCTCCTTGAATAACTCAATGATTGTTGAATGTAACTGACCGTAACAGTCAAAACACGTCACGTTCGCAATCACGTTTACGGTCACAGTTTACGGTCAAGATCACATTTACAGCTGCGTTTATAGTCATGGTCACGATCATGATAACGGCGATGATTTACAGGAGGTCATGCACATTTTGCCTCACTGCTGAATACTTTGTCTTGAAGGGAAGAAGTCTGAGTTATACTGGATACCAAGTCGCCTATGCCGTGATTGGTATGTATGCAATGTTCAACCTTAAACAGTGCATTTGTTTCGTGCTCAGACTGGTGTTGCTCAGACATGATATGATTAAAAAAGTATGTAAACGCTGTAGTTCCAATGATCCATTTTATTATTAATTAAAAAAGGAACATCCAGAGTAACATATCAGACCCGAGCCTATATTGAAGCAAAAGAGGAGGTTTCTTTTCGTTTTTTCGTTGCCTAAGCTAGTTGAGATTTGGAATAAGTTGAGGGTTTGCATAACTTTCACGTATGTCTTAACACCTCTTGTGTTAATAAAAAAAAGGCTTCGTAGAGCGCTACGTAGTGTCGAATCAGGTTATTCAAATGATGAGTTTTTCATATCTCCAGTATTGGTTTTTCCAAATTTTAGCTCGTTTCTCTTTGCAGGTTTTGTCGTGTTGTCAAATTTGGGCTTCCTTCTAATTCTCATTCCAAGCACTTCTAAGATGATACGCGATTTGATTTCATCAGCTGCGAAAGGAGCTGTGTAAGTAGATTGATTACGTGAATAGGTTGCTTTATATTGTTTACATTTCCCCTCAGGTGTTGACTTGGCTCATGTTTGTTTGTCTTTCTTTTCACTTTTTTTTCTTTTTTCAGACCATCGATAGTGCTGGCTGTCATATTACGAGTGTTCCAGCGCGTGTTCCTATCTCAATACGTCTTTCGTGACACAGAATACCCAAATGTCTCAGTCGTGATTGACAACCGGTAACTTAAAAATACAGTTTCTGTTTCTATTAACATGATAAGCTGAGCTGCGCACGTACTTTCACTGGTTCTTGACACATAGATGACGTCATCATAAACACATTTTCGTTGCTTTATCATTGATTGTTAACGTGGCTGTGTACAGTTATAGATCACAAAAGATGTCAATTTATGGGAAGAAAATCACTGAACCACTCGGCTGCGCCTTGTGCGCCAATTTGTTTTCTTTTAGCTTGCACAGCAGGCGTACTTTTAGCGAGTGGATGCTCAGTATTTTCCTAGCCGCTATCTTTGATTTTAATGGTAGCAGAAGGCTGGGGAGAGAAAGAAATTTGTACCAAGGGGGCGGTCGACCGTCAAAAATGAGGAGAGGGGTTCACTCTAACTCCAAATCAAACATGGCCGGTCGGATGAACGATCGCCAGCTTATAACGTTAGCTCGCCCTAATAAGACGCCTGCACTGCAGGATCGTTTTCTTACCACATCTTTTTGAGTCAACTGTTCGCTACTACTGAACAGAAGCAAGTTAACATGGCGTCTATGTGTTAATGAGAGATTACATTTGCGGTCGGTGTGCCATTCGTGGGTCTTACTCCTCTTCACCTCCACACAACGTTAAATGAAACAATTTACGTCACAAAAGCTTGCATTCTTGCCATAACTAACATTGGCTGTGTATGCAAATTTTTCAAGACAATTTGTCCAAGATAGTGGCTTTGATGCTTAACAGAGAAAATGACTGTTCGTCTCATTTGAAAATGCTGCTCGTCTTGCCAAAGACACAGGATGTTGGCACGAAAATTAGTTTTCGCGGAGTTCATCATAATGTGCTACCAATTAGAGTGCTGTAGCTCTGCAACAATTCACCTGAAGAATTTACTTCTCCTCTTCTCTGAAGAAGGTCATTATGTTTTTAATAGCCTTATCGTGAATCAGCATATAGGGCTGCCTCCAGGTTCCTCGAGAGTCTTAATGTGGTGATGGCTTTTATGGCTAACAGCCAAAATTGTTGCCTTTTTTGGGCAACAGTTACTTGAAATCTTTCGAAATGACAGATCGTAGGTAGGAAACATTTTTTTACGCGTAACAGCTAAATTTTTTGCCTCCTTACAGCCAATGGCTAACCCCACTTAGACGCTCCTCTTTATGTTTACCTTCTTGAAAACAGGCCACGATTTCTACTCGAGGTTGTTCCTCTCACTAGCTATAAGCAGCTATTAAATATTATTTATTAAATTTATTAAATATTTATTTCTTTGTTTCACTTTTTTCTCTTTTGTTCTCGTTTTGGAATCAATTTTTAGACGACTGTTCTCTATCATGTCGTATGCGTTCGTGTTCCTCAACGCCATTGTTGGATTCCTGTCAGGTCTTCTTCGCATAGCTAAAGCTATGATTCTCGGGCTTTTCTTCTTCTCACGTCTCGACCGAACTGTTTTAATGCCAGGATTTCAGAAATGGGACAAAGGTAAGCTCCCCGAAAAACGCATGCTTAGAAATTTAATTCCTCTGAACGGTGGTATGTCTGCCGAAAAGTTGAAAAATTGAGCAACTGCTTGTTGCTTCTTAGACTTTGCTTCTTACTGCTTTTGATTTTTTTTTCAAATTACCGAAGCATCTGAACAACAATGCAACGCGGCACGATGGACTGGAGAAAGGCCTGGGGGAAGGTGATCGAAGGATTTTGGTTGTGTCACAATG